AACGCTACCATGCTAACGCTACCATGCTAACGCTCACGCTACCAGGACGTCTCCACAGATAGGGGAGTAAGCTGAGGGGGGGGGGCAACATGCAGGTGAAAGGCTGGAATATTATAATGAGCTAGAGCTAATGAGGTCAGAAACTCAAAAGGCTCTGCTAGACCACAGTCCATTGATGACCGGAGGGATCCAGTTGTGACATAAGCCTTTGCAAGAGGATTCAAGTAAATGGGAGCCGGACCCTTAAGCACTTTGTAGGCTAGCATTAGCATTTTGTAGGCTAGCATCAGGGACCTGGATCTGATACGGGCAGCCAGAGGTAACCAGTGGAGTTCAGTAAACAGAGGGGTGACATGAGAAAGGTAGAAGCGTTTTTTCTGGGAACTCAGACTGATGGTTTCTCCTCCTCCAGGGTCCAGCACCGACGTGAGCGAGGACTGGGAGAAAGACTTTGACCTGGACATGACGGAAGAGGAGGTCCAGATGGCTCTCTCTAAGATAGAAGACCCCGGAGAGGTCAGTTTCTTATTAGAGGATGACGCGGGAGTGGATTTTCACTCCTGTCCCGTCCCACTTAGGGATGCGGATCGTTAATATTTATTGATATCGATACCTTTATCGATACTCCTTATCAATCCGAGTCTTTATCGATACCACTATCGATACTTTTTTGTTATTTGGTGGAAAGACGATGCGACAATATTTGGCAAATAAATAATTGTATTTTAGATTAAATGTAATTTTTAATAAATGTTGGCATCAGTAGTTTAATTATATATTCTAAAATAATTAGAGCAATATACAACTGTATTACTCATGTTTCTCGCCAAAAGCTCAATTTCCCTTTTCTTTACGTTACACTTGAACGCATCATGATAACCTAATTGTCGTTTTACTTAGCCAATCTGAACACGTCTGAAACTTTATTTACTTTTCACGCTAACTAGCTTGTATGCTACCGATTACAGCACGGATTTCACAATTACTATTGTAATAATAAAAAAAACGACCAGACTCGATAGTGGTATCGATAAGCCCAAACGTTATTGATTTTCAGGTTTTGAAAAAAGTGGAACCGGGTCCTTGATAGAACCGGGTTTGGATCCCCATCCCTAGTCCCACTCCCAGACCAAAGTTCAAAATATAATCCCATCCCGTTCCTGTTTAAACTGACTCTCATAAACTCATATAATATTTCAGACTGTCCGACCAGTTCTGTGAAGTTAATAGACAAGTCATTACTTCTGACTTAGCGCTGTAAATAATTTTTTTTAGCTCCCTCCATCTCTGCTCTTTGAATTCCGGCGGTAAGCCGTGACAAAAAGCCCTGATGGCTTCTGGGACGGCTGGGTCATGTAGTTATTTTTTAATTGCGTTACATTGTAGGTATATTAACTCATTGACTGCCAGCCATTTTCAGAACAGAGTCCCACACTGCCAGAGTTTTTTGAGCATTTTGACTGATTTTTCAAGAGCCACAGAATAGTTTGTGCTATGACTATGTAAACACCGAACACACCAAAAGAA